CTGCAGCACTCACCTGGGCAGATCCAGCCTATGTAGTGGATGCCCAAGATACCCTTGCTGAGTCCTAAGCCCTTCTTTGGTGACAAGAAGAAGGATGAGGACTTGGATACCTGGGTGAGGCACAAGCTCACCAGGCTAGAGCAGGAAGTCATCTAGGTTCTCCAATGGATTGTGCAGCGATTATGCATAGTTGTTGCTTCCTTTTTAGAGGGATCGGCAACACGTTGGTTAAATGGGTTAGTGCAACAACAGGGCTACGGTCATAATTTCGATGCCTGGGCCCATGCCCAGACATTGGAAGACTTCGTACGGTTTGTGTATAATAGGTGGCATGACCCTCAAGGGGAGCAGAAGGCCACCAACGCGATTAACAATCTTTGTGCCAAAAGGTACAAGAATGTTCTTGAGATCACTGACACCGTAGAACGTCTGCTCAGGGTACCTGATATGCGCTACGACCAACAGGTACTCCTCACGGATTACTTGAGATGTCTACCTTCAGAGGTGGTGGATGAGGCCTACGTCGACCAACATAACTTCGCCTCTTTTAGCAAGAAAGCCTTAGATATAGAGGCAAAGCTTGGGTCCGATGTCGAGCGCATCGGCCCTCGCGTGAAAACGAGTGCCCTCCCGGCCATGTCACGCAGGAGTTTATCTAAAAACATCTTCAAGAGACAACTCGGGAACGACGCATAACATTCCGCGAACCGCTAAGACGGACGCGGTTGCATCTCTCCTTTGCCGCTTTAGCCGGGTGCGCCAGCTATACATCCCACGATCCCCTACGATAGGATAGGTTTTCGCGGGGCATAAGCTTGCATCCCTAAGGGGCTGTCACCACCCTTAGGGGCGTATCCCTACCGAGCTACTGACCCACATGCGAAGGCTTTGAGATGCAATCGCAGAGGTAGATCAGCCGAGGGCGTTTGCTCGTCTCGCTGCAGTATAGGAAATGTTTGGCTAAACGCCGAATGGACCCGAACGTCGTCCGTTCCTAGGGCGCTGATCTCCAAGGTACGAAGCAAACGTCGATCGACTAGGATGGCTTCAACCAAGCGTGAAACCCACAACTCGATCCTAGTCCCTTTAACACATATTCAAGCGAAAGTTACAACAACCACACATATAATTATATCAAAAGGAGTCGATCGTAGCCGAGACGAATAAATATTCAATCTGAAATGATAACTAAAAGAAATTGAATCATCATATGAAACATTCAATAATACAATATCAAAATAAACCCCGACCACCTCGGGTCGACCTCCACAAAACAACCATACAACCGTCAACAAGGAGTTGGTTATAGACAATAACATAGATGCAGCCGACAAGGTAGTCGGACTGCCTTAGTTTTAACTTGATGAGACACGTTGCCAATGTTATTCATTCCAACCTACCGCCAACCTAAGATTATACTCGCTCAAACCTGTCTCCATACTTTCTCAATCTTATCAGATGACAGGCTGCGTTGCGAATGATTCCTTATCAGGGGCATTGCTTGAGATGTCGCATGCCTCTCCCTTTAGGAAGTGGTCTGGGGTAGTCCTTCTCCTCACCCGAGCACACAACTCGGATCCCAGAAGTCGGGCCGTCTCCATCGAATCGGCAAATTACCCCCCCGTAGAACGGTCCACTCCGGGTCGATAACAGGGTCGGCTCCTAAAGCAACGAACCCCCGCCCCAGATGCTTCCTAGAGATAGAAGATGTGTCCACTGCAAGTAGCTTTCATATATTAGGGACAACGGTAGTTTGCCGTTATGCCCCGCGGGAACCTATCCTGTCGTAGGGGACCGTGGGATGTACAACTGGTGCACCCGGCTAGAGCGGCGAAGGGACGACGCGACCACGACCGTCTCAACGGCTCGTAGGATGTGTTGCATCGTTCCTAAGTTGTCTCTTAAGTTATGTTTTAGTTTAACAACTCCTGCGTGACATGGTCGGGAGGGCCCTCGCTCGCGCGGGGGCCGATGCGCTCGACACCGAGCATCAAAGTCAGGGAAATGGTAGGACGAAGAGACTTCCCCAGGACTGGAAAAAGAAAGGTCAACTTATGTTCGTCGACTATGATGGTCAGGCGACAGAAATTGACGACTTTCCAGACTATGGGGACGAGACAGAGCATGATGGGGCCAGTGAGACTTCGGATGGGGGAGTTGTGGCTCGTATAAAGGAAAAGGCTAGGGAGACCGGGAAGAAGAAGGTAGGCCAGTCTATGGGTCAAGGCGACCAAGGAGCATAACCAACCACTTCACATCCTCCTCCTTCTCCTTCACCCATCCGCCATAGTCAACCACCTCGCACCCTCTTCCTCCTCCATCTCCTTGGCCGACCCACGCCTGGCTCAATAGAGCGAGGGCGGTGACACACAGAAGGGGGGTCTCACGTAGGACGGTAAGGGAGAGTAGAAATAGAGAATTGATTATGCTTAGGAAGTTTCTCTCTCTCTCTCTCTCTCTCTCTCTCTCTCTCTCTCTCTCTCTCTCTCTCTCTCTCTCTCTCTCTCTCTCTCTCTCTCTCTCTCTCTCCCCCCTATCTCCTCCTTTGGTTCTCTTCTCCCCGCCTCTCCCATATCCTAAGTCTAATCCTTACCCTTTCCACCCTTCCGTCTTGGCATGCAACTAACCCTCTCCCCCTCACTTGTTACATTGCCAGGGGACGGACGGTGAAAAAAAATTGATCTCGCTTGGTGGAGAAAGAGGGCAAAAAGGGGGGTTGTCGGTCCCTTGCGCCACCAAGGAGGAAAAAGGGAATACTTGAGGATCTGAAAGAGTTGTGAGCGCAAAATGCTTGTGAGATTGGAAGTGAGCCAGTCCAAAGAGGACTAAGAAGGGAATTGGTAATTGGAAGCAAGGTCAGTTGACTCAACCAGAACCCCGACTGCATGACTAAGAGAAGAGAATGATCGGGATGAGCGAAGGAAATGGAAAAGAAAAGAACCCAAGGACTTGGGAAATCAGGCATGTGGGAGGGACTATGTGTTGACCCCAAACGGGGGATTGTATCGGCCTTTGCATTGCGTTTGATTGTGTAGGTGAGTAGCCTTGGGATGTCTTGAGCGGGAAAGGAAAATGGAAGGGCAAAGCGCTAAGCGGCCTTTGACATAAACTCTGCCTATGAATGGGACCTTCGTGCATGCAATCTTGAGTACGGATGGAAAGGAAAAGTGAAGTTAAGAATGGTTGAATTGTGACCTAGTCCCTTTGCATGCGGGCGGGAACCCCGAAAAGACTAAGGGGTAGTCGCGAATGTCATGGACGGAATGCATGGATTGCTAAGTGCATATGGGGCTAAGGGGAAAGTCGGTGCTACCTCACCCCGATGATGCCATAGGGCTATTGCGTTAGGAAAAGGATGCGTGGCCTAAGGATGACGCTTAGCCTGCGCACAACGGAAGAAAGGGGCTCAATGAACTCCCTGGACTGCTTGAGTATTGGAAAGAGCAATTGCCTACAAACACAACTAAGAAAGAGCAATTGCCTGCAAACACAACTAAGCATCAGGATGTCTTTGTTAAACCCAAAGACTGCAACTGGTTAAGTATACATCATTCCGGGAGTGATGAGTTAACCCGATCGGCGTACCCATATGCCGGAAAAATCCGTGTGACTGTCTGGAAAAAACAACAACAACAACTAAGCATCAGGAAAACTGCGCTTGCGAAGGTTCAACGAAACTACCACCCTGCACGAGGGCTGAGCTACATCCCCCAATGTCAAAGCTCTCTCACTCGATGGCCCACCCCCATCCATCTCAAAGCACTAGGTGGGGGTGACCCTGTGACGAATGGCTCCGCGCCCTGAGCATGAGCGTGGGCGGAGCCGAGCCAACTAGGACCCGCAGTGGGGTCAACCTAGGCTTGAAAGTCTAACAGGGTGAGGCCCTACACCGGTAGGGCTGGTACTTGCCTATGGCCGTGACATTGAGGGTTGCAGCGCGGGGGAAAAAACTCAAGTAGCAGGTAGGCCGGTACCACACCAAGTAGTGGTAGATGTGTCGGGTACTCGAGGCCGAGCAGAGGAAGATGAAAGCTGGCATTTTTTAAGGCCAGTAGTTGTAGACTAGGTCTACGCGGGTACCAATCCAAGTAGCCTGAGTCTAGGGCCTATACAGGGGATATCAGAGTCTGCAATGATGTTTCTCTTCGCAAAGGAGGAGGTACCGGTTGCTTGGACGCCGCGCGACCTGGAAGTCACCGCCCAAGAGGCAAGTAGGCCGCTATATCTCCAGGAGGAGCGAAGTGCTCCTCCTCATTTGCTGCATGCAAGTTTGGAAGTCACGTTGCTGGAGTGCTGGAGGAGCAGCGGCAGTGTGCAGCGCTGTGTGGGGAAGAAGGGCACCAAGCTCCCCACCTTGGCTATGGTGGAGGACCTCGGATGGGAGGAGGAGGAAGAAGGGACTAGGAGAGGGGAGTGCCAGGGGTACTTACCTGGCTGTGGTGGACGCCATCTTCATCAACTTGGTGGGCTCTGCATCTGGAAGCCCCCCATTTCGAGGCAGAGTCAGGCATGGCGGCCTGAGTGGAAGCAGCCATAGCTGCTTTGAGTTGTCTTTTGCACGTCAGGGCAAGGCCCTATTAGTCCGCCATAGCCTCGGTCTTCCTGAAGAGGAAGGAGGAGGGCGGCCATGACTATGGTGGACCTCATGTTGTGCCTGCAGTGGGAGAGGGATTCGGACATTGATTCTGGTTCGGCCATTCATCATTATTATTTTTATTAATTGTTTGAAAAAAGAGGGGAGGAGAAAAGGAGGAGGAGATTGGTTGGTGAGAAGAAGGGGAATTATCATTGGTCTTTGCTGGTGTACATCTTCTTCTTCTTCTTTCCCTCTCTCCTGTCAAGTTCATTTATTTCTTTTGCAATTGGATGGCATTGTGCTCTCTCGTGAATTTTGTACTCCGAATATGGCCAGTATCGTAAGACCCATTTTCTTAAGCAACATGCGCAGTTATGTTGACTATGTGGATCATTGTTTTGTGTCTGGTTTGCTCGTTTGACAGATTTTTTGACGGAGTTTTCACAGTGGACTGATCCCTCCATTTGCAGTCGCTTGATAAATCCATACTAGGAAGGAGTTTCATTGGGAATGTCAGGACCATGCTCTGTGGGCCGACTACCGCCCGAAACTCGTGAAGCAAGGGTACATTGCCAACACCGTCCCAACAGCTGCATTGACGTCAAGAGCTGAAACATCAGGACCATGCATAGTGCCAAGAGCTTGGATAGACAAACAGCTGGGAGTACATGTGTAGCTTGGGGGTACGTAAACAGCCTGGAGTTGATGTGACTGGTGAACCTAAAGCGGGTAGCTACACATGAACTGCAAGCTGAAAGAACCAGGAGATTCTACAAGTGCAAAAATGTCTGATAGGGATGCACAGCGCTGACCTGGAGTGGGAGGAGACTTCGACAAGTGCAGAACTCTCAGAGAAGGTGTAGAGTCTGCAGACAGAAGTTCACCATAAACGAGAGAGAGATGAACAACGGGGCATTCATGTGTGTGGAGGTCCACTGGCACACTGAAACTAATGACGACTGTATACGAAGGTGAGCTATCCAGAGGTGATGATGATGATGGTGATGATGATAGTGAAAACGACAGTGGACATCATCACACAGCAGCACAGTCGGACGAAGGAACCATTAACTACCCTCTGAAGTGAATGTAGCAAGTCGAGCTGAAGCTCATTTAACCGCATTGTGAACATTTACGATCTGGGTCATGTGAAAAGACTCAAAGGTGGGTGAGCAAGTGTGATTTATTTGCTTCACATCAGGGATGCATACCTGCCGACCGCCGACCCCGACCTCTGACAGTTTTGCTGCCGACCAGTCAGAAAACAACCATCCAGTGCATCCACTGATTTTTTTCCAAATCTGAGTTTGGGGCTGTACTGCACTTGCTGAGTACAGCCCAAATCTGCTGAGAAACTTTTGGGGATGGGGGGGGGTATGGGGGATTTTGCGGGGGGGAAATAGGGGCAGTATA